CCCCCCCCTTTAACTCACCAATCACCAACGACCACCACCCCCCGCGCCCCCTTTTTTTCCTTCAAAAAGGATTCATCTCATCTTTCATCTTTTCCTTTACTATTCACTATCCATTATCTATTATCTATTATCCATCCTTTGATATTTTTTCTTCCTTTCTTCCTTTCTTCGTTTCTTCGTATCTTCGTATCGGTTATTGTCGTGCGGGAATATTAAGGTTATAAGACTGGTCACTGCAATATGCATTGCAGGTCTGCTTTTGCATATCAGTTATATATATATATTCTTTTTATCATATCATATCAAATCATATCAAATCAAAGCCAGACCCAGACCCAAAGCCCGAGCCCGAGCTCAAGCTCAAGCCCGAGCCAGCTACCGTAGCCACCTCCCTCCCGCCTTCAAGTACGTACCGGTACGTACCGGTAGGCAAAAGTAATCGAGCCCAGCTTCCGGACTATAAAGTTTTAATCCCTCCCTCCTTTTTCCCTTTTTTTTTTAAAGAAGGAAAAAAAAGGGAAAAAAAAAGGGGGGGGAAAAAAAAGAAAAAAAAAAATTGAGGATAAAGACCACCCCCACCCCCACCTCCTCCTCCCCCCCTCCTCCTCCTCCCCTCTCTTCCTCCGTAAATAAGGTAAGTAAAGCAGCAGCCACAGATACCAACTCCCTTTTACGCACGACGAAAGAAAACCCAGGGTCAGCACTTCGATGTATATGTACATATTTATACATATAAATAAATATAAATATCCTAAACCCAACCACCCCCAACCACCCATCACTCAACCCTCAATAATCAAGGGACTTGTTAATCGAGAATAAAAGAGAGAGAGGAAAAAGGGAAAAAAAAGAGGAGAAAGAAGAGAGGAGAAAAAAAGAGAAAAGAGAAAAGAAGAAGAAAAAAAAGCCTATCTTCTTCTTCCAAGGCTTAAGTAAGAGACTGACTATACAATCAGTCAGTCAGTCAATCCCAAACACAGCCGCCCTGGATACGTTTTCGGATGAGATTTCATTCTACTTTGGATAGCCCCTCTCCACGTAGACAGACAGGCAGGCGGGCAAGTAGTAGGCCTGCAGGTCGGTCTCTCCCTCGCTCTCCCTCGCTCTGAGCTGAGAAAGAGATAGGCTTCTGCCGCCGCCGCTGCGATAAGGGATTCGGCGAGAAAGAGAGTGATTAAGTGAGTAATAGATGAATGGAAGATGTGCGTGTGTGTGTGTGTATGGGTGTGTGTATAGGTGTGTGTGTGTGGGTGTATGTTTGGAATGTGCGTGTGTATAAGTAAGATAGGTAGAGTAAGTGTTATCCTTATTAGGACACAAAAGGATAGTTAGTGAAATTGATGTATCAAGTGTACTGGCTTGACGGTAAGGCTGCCATGAATAGGAATTGAAAAGATCAATCCTTTGCGTAGTGGATTTTGATAGGATAATGGCTGGCTGGCTGGCTGCCTGACTAAAAAGAAAAAGCAAGAGCGGGAGAGGAAAGGAGACTGGATGGAGGACAAGAGGGAAGTAATAAGCCGTAGCTAGAGAACACAACACAGGGCACGATAAAGCAAAAGGCTTGGCGGCATCAGCACGCCCGACCGGCACTCGTATCCGTATGGTAACGATGAATAGAAATCGGATGGGTTTCCTCTTTTTCTTGGTTGTTCCTTCTGATGTAGTGTAATCGAAGAAGGGATGAAACCATAGATGGAAACAGTCTTGGATGACGGATGAAACGAGAGATGGAAAGAGGATTGGAATAAATAACACTGCGAAATCCATAGCAAAACTGCGCAGATTGACACATACCCGTGAGAAAGAGAGGGAGAGAGGGGCAAAAAATCCGGCGAAATTAAAGAGGTATAAGCACGAGCTGAATGGGATCGAATGCATCCGATGGATCAATGGCTACCAAATTGAGTGAATGTCCTGCCCGGTTGGGACTCGGGGGAGCGGGTTCTCCGGATCTCTCCACCTGACGGTCGCCGCTCGGTCCCCATCCCCATCCCCATCCCCATGCCACGCGATCTCTCCTCTTGGAAGTATATTCTTGGGGACACGAATGCTGAAGCGTGGAGTGTCGCAGCCCAAATGATAATCGCGTCGCGTGGGAGAACTCTTCTACGGCACGAAGAGTACCTACAGAGGAGGTAGGTGTGGGACGTAAGTTCCGGGTCGTGTTGATCGCGAGCGCACACCGTGCGCGAGTTGTTAGGGAGACCTGGACTTGGGAGTGGAATAAAAATTCTCGAGGGGATCTGTGTGCCTGCTTGTGTGCTTGTTTGCTTGCTTACTTGCTTAGTTGGGCGTAATGGAAACCGCTCGGGGGATCTGACGTTTCTCTGGTGTCCCCTCGATCTCTTGTTTTGTGCATGTTCACGGGGGTTGTGGGTGGTTGAAGGGTTATTTATAAGTGAAGGTAAATGCAAGTCGCGTCTCGAACGCGTCGTATCGTGTTGTTTCGTGTCGGAGGAGGGGGGGTGGATGGATGAATGCATATGCAAGCACTTGGGTGTTAGAGTACGGGTACGGGAGTTTAGTTGTCAGCCTCTTGGCCAAGTTTTCGTCGGTGGCTTGGTGGCTGACTGGAAAGCAAGAGGTCCAACTAAGTACAGTACCTAGATGCTGATCGAGATCACGGGTCTTGAACGATTTCATCAGTGAGTGAGTGAGAGTGAGTGGGTGACTAAGTGAGTGAGTGAGTGACTGGGTGACTAAGTGAGTGGGTGACTAAGTGACTAAGTGACTAAGTGACTGAGTAACTGAGTGACTGAGTGACAGAGTGACTAAGTAACGGACTGAGAATCATAGTCCGTTCGTCGCTGCCACGAGCTATGCAACCTCGTTGGGAATTAGGTCATAGCCCGGCCGGAACGGGTGTAGCTCCGTCGACGAGGAACGATGACGGAAAGCCAAAGTGCGTGCAGAAGCTAAACACGATCAAAACGCGGCCGGTTGGGCTGAAGAAGGGGGCAGTCGCGTGTGGCCTTGACCCAGACACGCGAGAGGGGGAAGGAATTGGGTCCGGTTGCATGGCGTTGGGCTTGTACTTACTTGGTTAGGTTGGTTTAGGCGAAACGGGGGGGGGAATGAATGGTGGTGGAGGGGATGAGATGAGATGGGATGGGATGAGACGGGAGGGAGGGGAGGGGAGGGGATGGGATGGGATGGGATGGGATGGGATGGCAGCGGTGGTGGAGGTCGAGGTGGAGGTCGAGGTGGAAGTCGAGAGAGGTAGAGAGAGGGAGAGAGAAGGAGAGATAGAGAGAGGTCGAGGTACAGTAAGGCCGTAGTATGGACCGACAGAGGCTGTCGAGAGAGCCGTGGCTGGCTACCTACATGCATACGGAATACCCACGGTCTGCATGAAAATGAAATGTTATTAATCTCAGAAGAGATGAACAAAGGCGATTGTTGTATCGCGGGCTCACACTGCATCTGGCCGTCTGGGGCATGAATGAATCGGTAGGATTGTGATCTCATGCATATAGTATATGGTATGTATAGATGTATCGAAATATACGCACATGGGTCGGTGAGGCACATTTAGTAGTAGTTGCACCGGTGCTCTGTAGATAGATATCAATCCAGATATAAAATCCACAGGTGTAAAAATACCTATCCCCATCTCCATCTTCCCTCCAGATCGAGCTTCCTTCTCTCCGCCGCCCATGCCCATGCCCATGCCCATGCCCATCCCCACTCCACTCCACTCCACGTAGTCGTAGAGGAGAGTCGGTAATAGTACCGTAGTCGAACATGTAACATCATCATCGCCGCCGTCCATGATCCATTCCCAGCGATGCATGCCCGCCCATCTGCTACTAATACTACTACTACTACTACTACCACTACTACCGCGACTGCTATTACCTGACCAGGTACGACGACCAATGTGACCCAGAGGCTAATGAGGCACTAATGGTCCTCAGCCAGATTCCCCGGTTCCCCTGTCTACCACGTCCCCGCCAAGCAGCTAGAATCACGACGGGGCCAATCAACATGCCCCTCTAGGTCCTGGGCCCCGCTTTTCTTTTCTTCTGCCTTTCCCTTCTGGGCTAGACTAGGGCCGAGAGACCCCCGATCATGGATCAGGCCCTTGACCATGACCATGACCATGACCATGACCATGACCATGACCATGACCTGGACCTGGACCTGGATCTTGGCCATGACCCACGGCCACGGCCACAACCACTCACTCCTTTTCCTTTTTCTTCACCACGACAGCTCCACGACACGGCTCGTCTCTCTTTGGACCTGTGTCTTCTGCTGCTGCCGCCGATTCCTCTCTGTTCTTTTTAATCCGCCTCCTCTTTCTCCTGCTCGTCCGGTCCATCCTCTCTCTCTCTCTCTCTCCTCGTCCACTCCCTCGTCCCTTCCCTCCGTTCCGTCCGTCTCGATCTCCTTCTCGCTTCTCACCTACCAGAAGGAATAGGTAGATAGATGATTCAGGATCTCGCCTAAACCAGATCCGATCTCACCGGCCATCAGACCAGACCAGACCAGACCAGACCAGACCAGACCAGACCAGACCAGACAGACCAGACAGACCGGACCGGACCGGACTATTGAAAGCAAAAGAAAATTCCTCTTAGGAGTGAATCGAAAAGAGGTAGTTCACCACCACTACCCTCACCCTCACCCTCGCTCGCCTCGCTTCGTGGTTGTCGCCCCGTCAGATTCCGTCTCCACAGCCTCAAATCCAATCGAAAAATTCCCTTCCCACCCCCCCGGAGCCTCTTTTCTCCCAACCACCACCACCACATCTCTTCCTCTGCCCACACTCCACCCTCCTCCAACTACAATCTTTCTTGTCGGTCCCGAACATACGTGGACACTGCTGCACCGCACTACACCGCACCGCACTACGATCACTATATCTAACTGTGCTCAGTTCCCAGCGTAGTAGTAGTAGTAGTCAATCAATTGACGTGTCTCACCACATCGACACGAGATACCCTCTCGACATATCCAGACGCGATCCGATCCAAAGACTCGAAGGTAAGTTCAATCGGTCCTCTCTCTATCCAGTCCAGCGTTCCTCGTTGCATCTCACTTCCTCTTAGATTCTTCTTCTTGCTGACCCTCCCTCCCCCCCTTGCGTAGCAGTTTGCGTGCGAACGGTCGCGTATCGGTGGCATTCCCAGAGAGACCTCCCCTCGTCCATACCAGACCATACCCAACCACACACACGACCCCCCTCCCTCCCTCCCAACCCGCGACGGATACGCTGGAGACGTTTACTCGTTCATCCGGCCGACCTCTCGCAAATTACAATCCGCATACCTACCAATTGACTCGTCCGGCACTCCGTCAAGGCGGTAAGGGATTCACTCACATTTTGTTCCGGAACACACGGTCGGTACGATTCCTGCGCGTACCTGCATTCTCTCTCTCTCTCTCTGTCTCTCTCTCCTTTCTCCCCTTCCGGGCCTGTCTATCCCTGCCTGCCTGTCTGCCTGCCCTCCTTCCTCCCCTGCTTGGAATTCCCCCGCTAACGACCGCTCTATTGTTAGATTCAGTGATATTGACCTGCCTCCTCCATCTCCGCAGCAGTCTCGACTAGCCTCTTCGTTCTTTTCACGCCTCACCCCTATACACTCTCTAATTCTTTAATAACTCGACATTCCGCCGAGTGTCAGTTCACCTTTGAACATCCCACAATCCTTACTTCCAGTGTCTCCCGAGCACTGTCGGTCGAAGCTCCTGGAGAACCTAGACATCCACTCCTTTCCGCACAACCACACACAGACGTCCCTTTCCCCAGAAAAATCCCCCTTCACCTTTACAATCACCGAGCGAAGTAGCCAAGATGGGGTACCACACACAGCAGCCTTGTGAGACGTTCTTCGTCGAGGAATCGCACCCTACACAACGACCCCCCCACACCCAAGACTACATCAAGATGGCCGGTCGGCGCAGACAGGAAGCGATGGCCAACGAGTTGTCGAGACAGGCCTGCGATACCTACATCGAGGATATCGTCCGTCACATGAAGCACATGGAGGTCAGTGGCCGCGACCTCCCTTCCTCTCTCTGACCGTGGCTTACCCATATTTAGGACGAGACCCTTCCCGACGTCGCCTCGATTGATATTCAACAAGAAATCCAATGGTTCATGCGACCTTACCTCATCGACTTCCTGGTCGAGGCCCACGCGGCTTTCCAACTCCTGCCCGAGACCCTCTTCCTCGCCGTCAACCTGCTCGACCGCTACTGCTCCCGGCGGGTGGTCTACAATAGACACTACCAATTGGTGGGATGTGCTGCGCTCCTGATCGCCGCCAAGTATGGGGACCGCAAGGAGCGCGTGCCCATGATCCGCGAGCTGAAGTCCATGTGCTGCAGTCTCTACGACGAGGATATGTTTACCCAGATGGAATGGCACGTTCTCAACACCCTCGAGTGGATGGTGGGTCACCCGACCGTCGACAGCTGGATGCAACTCAACCTGAAGGACGGCCCGGAATTCGACGACATCGAGGTCGAGCACATGTCCTGGTACCTCTGCGAGATCGCCCTGTACCACAAGGACTTCGTCTCCAAGAAGCCGTCCGTCATGGCCGAAGCCTCCATCGCCTTGGCGCGGGGTATCCTCGGCCGCCACGATATCATGGAGGATACCCACTGCGAGGTGAGCCAGACGATCGTCGAGCTGTCCCACAAGCTGGAGCGCCCCTCGCAGGTGCTGTTCCGCAAGTACGCCACCCCGCACCTGTCTCGCGTGTCCACGACCCTGGACGGCTTTCTCCGCCATCAAGCCATGATCCGACACGCCAGCCCGCCGAGCCCGCCCCGGGAGCCCAGCACGACCCGACCCTCCCAGCACGAGATCTACCCTGGTACGCCGCAGAAGCCCTACGGTGCGACGGTCAGTGGTTACATGACGCCCCCCATCACTCCGGAAGGCGAGTATTTCGTGAACGGCCACCCGGCTCCGCGCTGCCCCGTGACCCCGACCCCGACCTCCAACCAGCCGTACGTGCAGCCGCAACCATACCATCCGCAGTACCACCCGCAAGGACTGATGCACTGAGCGGTCAGTACCGGCAGCATTTGGAGGCTCGGACGTGGGGACACGAGAAAACCGACCCGAATCGCATTACATCATAATGGTCTTCTTCACCGCACGAAGACATTCTCCCCCCCTTACACGTGTGTGGCATAAGCGTCGTCATTCTCTCTCTCTCTCTGCTTCTCTTCGGGTGTTTGGATGGGCATAGCGACACAACAATCTGGGCTCGTCGTCTGTTTCTGTTTGATCTGTTGTTATTAGCGATTTGACTACAAAAATTTCCCTGCACGTCCCCCCTTTTTGCGCTCATTTCCCCCCCATCTTTCTTTTATCGGATTCTCTTCTTGGTTTGATCTGCCCTTGTGGGAGACAGGCATCACTTTCGAATCGAGAAAACACAGCGGACGACGACCATTTTCGCACATCACCCTTCTTTCTTTGGCGCACATTCGGGAATCGGAGGTGATAGAAGAAACACAAAGCCCATCAGGTTGTCCGCGGCTCAAAAACACCACGGGAGAAGGGACCCCCAAACAAAATTGGCACATCTGGCTGGCGGAGGGGATACCGAGCGCTTGGGTAGGAAGATGACGGTGATGGATACCAGTGGATGCATGGATAAAAGTGCGCTGCGTTGGGTATTCGGGGGGGGGATGGGGTGGTTGATGATACCCGGCTGACGTGTGAGCGCGTGGATTGTGGTGGAGGTTGGACGGAATTGCATCGGGGGTTGCTAATCGTGGATGGATGGGATGTGAACGTGGTAATCCTACTGCCGTACGTAAACCCGGGACGGGCATTAATACGAAGTATAAAAGCATCCCCTTCTTGAATGTTGATTTTTTAATCAACTAACTTTGCTTGGTTTTTCCTCTTCTTTCATGTATAAGGATGAAAAAGCAGAATCCACACGAGTGTGCACTTTTCTAAATGAAATCCCTGATCTTGTTGTCCATGTGGCAAAGAGGATATTATGCCTCCCCGTTTCCTCTTGACCAAGCTTCTTTTTAATTCGAAATGATCTTGTATATCCTCATCGTCATTGGAGTTGATTGTTTTTCTCTCTCCATCATTCACTCACCTCCCTCTCCTATTCTATTCTTCTTCCTCTCACTCCCCCTCTCACCTCTCTTCCCCTCTTCCCTCTTCCCCCCTCCCTTCCCATCCCCTCTCTACCCTTCCCCCCTCCCCTCTTCCCCCTTTCACCCCTCCC